GCGAGAAGAGGAGAGTGGGAGAAAGGGAGGGAGAGAGAGCGAGCGAAGGGAGAGGGCGATCCTGCCTGGACGCACTGCGCTACGGTTCCCATGGCGGTTTCACACATGCAAATCTCCGCCGGGCGCCCGCCTTCCCACACGCCCCCGCGCCCCGGGGAAAGAAAAGAAAAAAAAAGAAAGGAGAATTTCAGACAGACAGACAGAGAGAAAGAGAAGAAAGAGAGTAGAGAAGAGGAATGGGGAGATGTGGTGGCTTTGTGTGTGTGTGGGGGGGGGGGTTGTGTGTGTGGGGGTTGTGTGTGTGTGGGGGGTGTGTGTTTGTGTGTTGTGTGTGTGCTGTGTGTGTGTGTGTTGTGTGTGTGTGTGTCTGTGCATGTGTATGTATATTGGTTGTTTTATGTCTGTGTCTGTGTTGTGTGTTGTAAATTGATGAATTAATAAAGGAACGTATATGGGTCGTTCACTTTGTTTCTCATCCTTCTAAATGGAAGTGGAAAGTAGTTCACGGAAAAAGGAAGAGAGAATGGAAAATTGGGAATGTAGAAGCAGCAAAAAGCAGTGCTCGTGGACTGATGGAGAGGAGAAAACAAACAATGAAAGAGGAGGAGAAGCAGGAAGAAGAGGAGGAGGAGGGACGGAAGAAAGAAGGAGGGAGAAGAGGAAGAAAGGAGAAAGGAGGGAGGAGGAAAGAGAAGAGAGGAAGGAGAAGGAAGGAGGAGGAAGGAGAAGGGAGGAAGAAGAAGGGAGGGAGGAGATAGAGGAGGGAGAGAGGAAGAAGGGAGAGGGAGGAGGATAGAGGAAAGGGAAATAGGAGGAAAAGGAGGAGAGAGAGAGGAGGAGGAGGGAGGAGGAAGGAAGGAGAGGAGAAGGAGGGAAGGATGAAGGAGGAAGATGAGGAGGAGAGAGGAGGGAGGAGGAAGAAGATGAGAAGAGAAGAGAGCAGAGAGCAGGAGTAAACCACAGCTCGGCGGTGAAGTGAAAGGATTGCCCGGGAGGAAAGTCCGGACGCAAACACGCAAACAGGGGCGACCGCCGAGGAAAGAGACGGGAAAAGAGGGAAAAGTGGAGGAGGAGGAGGAGGAGGAGGAGGAGGAGGAGGAGAGGACGAAGAGGAAGAGGGAGGAAGGAAGAGGAAGAGGAAGAGGAGAGGAAGAGGAAGAGGAATAAGGAAGAGGAAGAGGAATAAGGAAGAGGAGGAGGAGGAGGAGGAAGAATCTTGTCTTAGGGAGGCTGAGAGAGGAGGCTGGAGTGTTTTCTCGGCTAGAGGACTCCTAGAGAAGAGAAGAGAGAGAGAGAGAGAGAGAGAGAGAGAGAGAGAGAGAGAGAGAGAGAGAGAGAAGAGAGGAGAGAGAGAGAGAGAGAGACGCTCCCATTTCTCTCCCTCTCCCTTCCCTCCCCACTTCATCCAACTCTTCTTACTCCCCTTTCCCCTCTCCCCTTCCTGCCCCTCCTCTGCTCCAACACTCCCCTCTCCCCACTCCCGTACCTCCCCTCTCCCCACTCCGTCCTCCCCCCTCCTCCTACTCCCCTCTCCCCACTCCCCTCTTCCCCCACTCCGTCCTCCCCCTCCCCCTACTCCCCTTCTCCCCACCTCCGTCCTCCCCCTCCCCCTACTCCCCTCCCCATCCCTCCCCGTTCCTCCCCTTTTCTCCCGAGGCCACACGGGAGGGATTCCCCCATTACTGTAGAAATTACCTTATTTTTTCCCCTTCTCCTTCCCCCCTTGCCCTTCTTTTTCTATCCGTCTCCCTCTTATTGCTTCATCTCCTCCAGCGGCTCCGTCTCTCTTCGCTTCTCTTTTCTCCCCTCTTTATCGCTTCGTCTCTCTTCTCCTCTCCTCTCTTCATCCCTTCTCTTTGCTTCTCAGCTTCTTTCTTTCTCTCTCCATGCCCTCCTCTCCATTCCCATTCTTTCTATCCCTTTTCTTTCCTTCTCCTTCTCTCTGTCCCTCAATTTTCCTATCCTCTCCCTCTATCCCTCTCCTTCCCTTCTCCTCTCTCTATCCTTCAAATTCCCTACCCTTTCCCTCTATCTCTCCTTTTCCCTTCTCCCCTCACTATCTCTCTTCTTCCCTTCTCTCTCCATCCCTCAACTTCTCTATCCTCTCCCTCTACCCTTCTTCCTTCCTCCTCTCCCAATGCCTCCTCCTCCCTCCCTTCCCCGCCCCTCCTCCCCCTGCTTTCTGTGATCCCGCAAGTGTCCCCATCCCTCAGAGGTGGTCGATTTTGCCAACAGAGGCCCTCGCGTCCTCGCCTCCGTCCGGTTGCGGAGGAGGGCTCTCAGGCATCGTCGTCTGTTTCCTTTTTTTCTCTCTCTCCTCTTGTGCGTTTTGTTTTGTCTCACTGCGCCGAGTGATTCTGTGTCGGAGGCGTCTTTTTGCCTCGCTCGTCTGCTTTGGGGGGTGAGGAGAACGTTCCTCTGTGAGTATTTTACTCGCTGGGTTGCCGTGTTCCGCCGTGGAGTTGTCCTGGCGTGTCCGTCGGGATCAGCACGTTCGATTCACCTGTTTGAGGGAGTAGATTTGCTTCCACCTGTCTCCCTTGCCGGGTCGTTGGGTCTGCTCCTGTCTGCTGGGGTCACCCTGCTGAGGGCGAGTCTCGGGTCAGACTCGTCCTCCCAGATAGATTCATCAAGTCTCCCGCCCTTGAGTGGCTGCTGCGTCTGTGCCTCCCCCTGGAATGGCATACTCGCGTGTCCGTCATCCGGGAAGGACCCTCTCCCCCCCCCCCCTCACCGGCTTGATCAGGGCTATTTCGAGTCATTTACCTGGCCCTGAGTGACCCCTCGTCGGCCGACCTGTCACTCTCGCCTCCCCCTTCGTTCCTTTCCATCATCCGGGGCCTCTCCTCTTTTTTTTTTTACCCTGCGTCCCCGTGCGAGCGTTTCAGCCTTGCCTTCGTTGCGGTTCCCCTCGCCGGGCGGGTTCTTCATTTATTTTCTCTCTCTTTGTTTCTGTCTGTCTGTCTGTCTGTCTGTCTGTTATGTCTCTGTCTCTGTCTGTCTTGTCTGTCTGTCTGTCTGTCTCTGTCTGTCTCTCTCATCTCTCTCTCTCTCTCTCTCTCTCTCTCTCTCACTCTCTCTTCTCTCTCTTCTCTCTCTCTCTCCTCTCTTCTTCTCTCTCTCTCTCTCTCCTCTCTTTCTCTCTCTTTCCCTCATTGCGGGTTCCCTCGTCTTGGCATCATCCTCATTCTCGTCTCCCGTATTTATTTGTACAGTCCAATTTCAGGGCACGGGAAGAGGGATATTCATTTTTCTCTCTTATTTTCTTATTTCTTTCTCCTCTCTCTCTTTTTGTAACCTTGAGTCTCAATGCATGTATATATCGCAACTCTATTGAGGACTTCAGATTTTTTTTTTTTTTTTTTTTTTTTCATTTCTTGAAGCGTCTTTCAAGCCGAGCGGTGCTTTGTCTTGTAATTGCTTCCAAGACTCAGCAGCTTACTATGTCTGCCGTTGCTGAACGTCGCTCGAAGGCTCTCTCATCGTCGTATTCGTTTTCTATCTCTCTGTTCTTTTTAGTGTCTTTCCCCTATCCCGTATCTACTCTCTTAAATCCATTTCCCCTGCAACTTCCCTATACATCGTCTGCTTCCATTCCTCCCGCTCCTCGTCGTCTCGCGCGGTCCTCCACACAGTCTATCGGTACCCTCTCTGCCTTATCCGGTCCTTCATCTCTCTCTTGCTTTCCTACTCTTCTAAGTTCTCCGCTTTTACTTTCCTCCTCTTCTCTCTCTCCTTCTCTCTCTCTCTCTCTCTCTCGTCTCTCTCTCTCGCTCGTCTACCTCTCTCTCTGCTCTCTCTCTCACTCTGCATCGAGGCACTTCTTCTCTCTACTTCCTCTGCTCCACGCCTCGCCTGCGCCTCCCCTCCCTCCGGCCGTCTCCATCGTGACTGTCTTTCGTATTGGTATCGATAGTCGGGATTATTCATACCATATATAATCGTCCGCCTTCCTCACTGTCTGTCTCTCTCGCAGTACTGCTATGCGTCGCCTGGCGAGCTCGGCTGTGTGGTCGGAACGTTCTGCCTAATAGCCGCGGGAGAAAGAAGATCGGCCGTCGAGGGCATTCGGGCCGAGCCAGCTCGGGGGGGGTCGGTGTTCCTACGCCGACTAGCACAATAGCACCTGTATGTCACTCGAGGTGTCCTTGTGGGCATCGGCCTCGCCGGTATCGGTTCGGTTGCTCGTCATGGAGGTTGCCCATCATTATATCTCTGCCTCCTGAACCTCGTCCCGTTATACTCCTTCCACACTCTATTCTTTACCCGTGCTTTCGGCTCCTGTTCACCATATATTCCCTACCTCCAATGCTTCATATTCGTTTTGTCGGCGTTCCTGGTTCGTTTCTTCTCACTTTCTTTGTAATGTTTGATCTAAGACTTGTTTGATAGCTGTGTTGGGGCTTGGATGGTCTCAGTCTTCGCTGCTTTGGCCCTTTTGTTATCACGTTGTTTAATTTTTCTTGCTTCGTGTTGAGTTCTTTTGTTTCTCCTCGATACTCATACTGTGCTTTCGCTTCTCGTGGCCTTCTTCTTCTGCTGCGTCTCTCCCATTACACCTGTCCGTTATCCTGCTCTCTCATCTCTCTCTCGTCCTACACTCGCACTCCGTCCGCTCAGCCGCTCCCTCATCCCTCTCCCCCTATCTTCTCAGCTCGTCTGTCTCTCGACCCCATAATAATTCTGTGTTTCATTGTAGCTTTCTATCTATTTATTCTCTCCCTCACTCGACCCTATTCTATGCCTAGTCTATTTGTCACTCTGTCCCTTTCCCTGGTCTCTTTCTGTCTGTCTCTCTCAGCGTCGGGTGCTTCTGTCGACGTCTCTAAGCCGCGGTGGCGATTTCCATCGCGCCTTCCTCCTCGGCCCTATCGTGTCTACCTCCGTCTTGACATCCTAGAAGCATCCATCTGCCCCTCGGATGTCGACTTCTTCCTCTGCGTTCCGATCTTCCTCCTCCTCCTTCCGTTTCTTCTGTGCTCTTTTTCTTTTCTTTCACTTTCTCCCCGCCATCTCTCTCTCTTTTCTTTCCCTGTTCGCGCTTCTCCCCTTTTTTTTATTTAGCTAAGTCTTGTTTGGGTTTGTTTGGATTTCTCGTCTTCGCTGTTTTGGCCCAATTTCTGTTTTCTATGTTAATCTTCTTTTATTTGCCTTCCCATTGTCTTCTCTCTCTCTCTCATATCTCTCTCTTCTTTCTCTTCTCTCCTCTTGTGTGCTCAACTCTATTGCTAGCTCCTGCTCCGCGCCCTCCTCGAACTTCATCATCTCCTCATTCTTGATTCATTTTCATCTCTCCGTCCCCGTCCCACCTCCTTCTCCACCTACCTCATCTCCATCTCATACCCCTCCCGACCGCAAGCCCACCTGAACCCAAGTAGAGGTAAATTAAGTTGAGAATACTCAATTTAAGGAGTGCGGCTTCGAGCTTGCGGATGGAAGGGGGGAATGTGTGGGTGGGTTGGCAGGGGAGCGAAGTATAGGGGAGAGGTGAGGGGGAGCGGCTAAAGGGGGGGACAGGAGGCGGATGAGTGTAGGGGAGAGTGGAAGAGGAAAGGAGGGAAGGGAAGGGAGAAGAGGGTTAGAGGAGAAAGGAGGAAGGCGAGGGAGAAGAGGAAAGGGAGGAAGGAGTGTGTGGGCCGAAGAGGGAGAAGGGGAGCGGAACACACTACCTGAGCTTCGTAGGGAGGGAATAAGGGGGAATAAGGAGAGGGAGAAGAAAAGGGAAAGGAGGGAGATGGGAGGGATTAAGAGAGGAGGAGGAAGGTTATGGAGGTGCCTGGACTGGGGTTGTGTGTGGGGGAATGGGCGGGGGTGGGGGACGGGCGAGAGAGGATGGAGGTATCCAGCTTTGTCAGAATTAGCATAATGGGACCGAGCGCCAGCAGGAGACGCAGAGATGGCGACATGTGGGCGGTGCATGATCGTTGTCAGCGATGACGCCCTAATCCGTGATTGTGACATGTTCATGACATGCTCGTCAGGCCGTTGTCAGCTGATCGGCAGGCTCGAGGGTCGCTGATATTCTCGTCTCATTTCCTTGGGTTTATCATTTCCTTCTTTGTTCCTTTTTTACGTTTTTTTTTTTTTTTTTTTTTGTGCGTTGCTGCGTCGACGATTTGGATGTGACGCGGCAATTTGTTTTCGACTTTTTTGAAAAAATATATAACATCCTATATTTTATTCTTACTTTTTTGGGCTTTATATGTTTGTTTTCTATTTTTTTTTTCCGGCGTATTAATTAACTTGCCAATTTTATTCTTCTTCCTGGGCGCCGGGGAGGGTAGGGAGGGTAGGGGGGGTAGGGTTACCGTCCCCCTCCCCCCTCCCCCCCTATCCCCCTTCTAGGCCTTCCGCGGTCGATTGTGGCGCAGCCGGTTCTCTCTATTTAGTTATTTATTCGGCGTGTAATTGACTTGCTCGGCCTTTTGTTGATTTTGGATAATGCCGCGCGGGAGGATCTGATGGCAGGGCGTGTATTCTGTTAGCTGATCGGATTTGCTGATGACGTTTGCAGGTGGACGTAGGGACGGCATTTGGTGTGTGTGTTGTGATGTGTTCGTGGGTGTGGGATGTTGGGTAGTGTGGGTGTGGGTTGGTTGGGTGTGTGTGTGTGTGTGGGGTGTGTTGTGTTGCTGTGTTGAGGTGGGGGTGTGGGTGTGTGTGTGTGGAACGGTTCGTGGGTGTAGTGTGTCGGTGTGCTGATGGTGCGACTTGTATCGTGTGTGTGTGTTTCGTTGTGTGTAGTGTGTAAGTGTGTGTGTGTGTGTTGTGTAGTGTGTGTGTGTTGTGCTGTGCGTGTGTGTGTGTGGGTGCGGGTGGAGGTTGTGTTGTATGTGGGTGTGTGGGTGTGTTGTGTGGGTGTGGGTGCTTTGTGTTGTGTGTTGTCGTGTGTAGTCGTGGGAAAAGTAAGGTTGTGTGTGTGTTGTGTGTGTGGGGTCGCTGGTAGTGTGCAACAAGACAGCCGCCGTGTCGATGTGCCATCAACGGGCAATCCGTCGTGATGTCGTGTGTTGTCTTGCATGATGCGTGTACTGCCCGAGATGCTGCGGATGGGTATGTACATGCTGTTATGTGATGTATGTGTGTAGTCGCGTCGTGTGTATTGGTGATGACTTTGATTTGTTTTGCGTAACTAATCGGTACGTGCACGGATGTGATGAGAAATTCAGTGTGTATGTTACGGATTTCTTTATCTCTCTCTTTCTCATTGATTACTCTCATTCTCTCTCCTCTCTACTGCTTCTTCTTCTGTTGCTGCTGTTTGTCTGTCTGGTCTGTCTGTCTGTCGGTCTTCTCTCTCTCTCTTCTCTCTCTCTCTCTCTCTCTCATCTCTCTCTTCTCCCTCTCTCTCTCTCTCGCTCATCTGCTTCTCCCTCCTCTCGCTCTTCTTCGCTTCTCTCTTCTTCCTCTCTCTTCTCCGCTCTCTCTCATCTCTCTACTCTCTCTTCTCATCTCTCCTCTTACTCTCTTCCCCCGCCTCCCTCCTCCCCCTCCTCCTCTCCCTCCCCTCTGCCTCCCTCCCCCTCGTTGACGTGAACAGACCTGGGACAAAAAACTCCTTTGTTGTTTTGTTTTACATTAAAAGTATTTTTCGACATAGACAAGTGCGTTCCAACAAGGTGTGAATAAACTTCTAAATCATAATTATCTGTCTCACTTTCACCTATCCTTTGCTCTCGTTACATCGTTCTCTTTCTTTTCTTTGCTTTATTTCCTTTCTTTTATTCGTTAATCTATATATCTTGTCCTATTCCCCTCTCTTCCCCCCCATTTCTTCCTGCTCCTTGTCTCTCCTTACTTATAGCCCCACCACCAATACATTTTCTCAATGTCACATTTCCGTTACTTCTACCCTTTCCCCTTTCCCTCCACTTCATCCTTCTGACCCCCCATTTCCTCGTCCTTCTAGCCGGTCATCTTGCACCCTCTTATCTCATCCCTTCCTCTTCCCCCTTGTCCCTCCTCAATGCCTATCTCCTGTTCCTCTCTCCTCACCTTTCCTTCTCTTCCACTACCCCATTTCTCCTCCCCTCCTGTCACCTTTTTATCCGCTTCCTCTCCCACTTATCCCCATTTCCTCTCCCATCCGCATATGCTCCTCCTTTTCCTCCCATGCTCTCCGCTGCCCATCCTCTTATTCCTTTCCCCTCATTCTTCCCCTCCCATTCTCCTCTTCCTCTCCCCCCCACTTTCCCCCCTCCGCATCGCTGCTTACCCTCTCCCCTTTCTCCACTTTCCTTCCCCTCCCATCCGTCTTCCCACTCCCTCTGTTCTCACTGTCCTTCGCCCTTCTCACTTTCCTTCCCCTCCATCCCTTTCCCTTTTTCATTTCCTTCCCCTCCCCATCTTTCTATCCTCTCCCTTTCGTTGCAGTTCGCTTCTCCTCCCCTTACCTTCTCACTTCCCCTTACCCTCACCCCACCCCCCCCCATCCCCTCAAAGACTCCGGCGCCGCGTGGCGCCCATCTGTTCGCGCCGCGTTAACGAGCGGCGGCCGGGCCATTAGTCATGAGCGCACAGGTGTTTTCGGCATCGCTCGGCGGTCAAGGCTCGATTCCAGGCTGATTCGTGGTTCCTTGGCCGCTGCGGGGGAGAATGGAGGGGTTTCTTTTCCTGGGTTATCGTCTCTCTCTTTCTTCTCTCTCTCTGTTCGGTTGTCTCTTTTCTCTTTCCTCTTTCCTTTCTCTTTTCTCTTTTCTCTTTCTCTTCTTTCTCTTTTCTCTACCTTCTCCTCTCTCTCTTCTCATCTCTCTCTCTTCTCTCTCTCTCTCTCTCTCTCTCTCTCCTCCTCTACTCTCTCTTCTCCTCATCCTCTCTCTGCTCTCTCACTATCTCTCTCTCTCTCTCTTCTCTCTCACATATTCTCTCTCTCTCTCTCTCTCTCTATTTGTCTTCTCTCCTTTCGGTTTATGTCTCTTTCTCTTTTCTGGTCTGGTCTCTTTCTCTCTTCTCTTTCTTCTTTCTTTCTTTCTTTCTTTCTTTCTTTCCTTTCATTTTCT